ATGTTCATTCATTATCATAAGCACTGTGGTTTATTTCAAACCACATCCACAAACACCATCATACTGCCCCGAAATACTAACTGGAAAACCAAATGTGTATTATCTCCCAGCAGAAAGCAGTCTCCAAAAAAAGCTCTTTTACTCTGTTTTGAGTGTCTTTTTCTAGATAGATCCACTGTGCTCAGCTGTTTTGGGACACGTTTTTGTAATATATTAAACTATATATTTAACACCAATTGTTAAAGGCTTATCTCTTTATTAGATAGTTGTTTTTTGACTTTTTGAGGGGCTTGACAATAGTACAAATGGCAAATAACCAACGTTGCCTTTCAAGATAAAGTTGTTTTAACCAAATAAGAAAAATATTTTCATTAGTAAGGACCACTACTGATTATTGATTACTAGGATAAATGTTTTAGTGACTTAAAAATGCCCAAATGATGTCCAAAGTATATCATTCCTTGTTTCTTGTCTTTGCAAGATCACACATTGCTGCTAGATGAATAAGAAAGAAAACTAGAGAATGCAATTCCTGAAGAAATTGCTAGTGGGGATGCTTTATGCTGAAAAGCTGACGCTAAACTGCTATGCTGAAATGTAATGTGTAAGAAGAAAGTGAAGAATTTAGATTGAAATGATACATGAACACTGGGGGCTTGAATGTGTGATGAGAGAAGAAAATAAAATAAAAAGGCTTGGAAAAGCAGCAGAATATCTATACTGCAAACTTTTGAACTAACTTGATGGGGAATTATCTGTTGCCATGCCAACGGCATTTGATGACATCCCATAATACGCTTAGATGCGTTGATGGCTGCATCGTTACCAAACCTGTGAAGTTTTGGGCCGTTTGGAGCATTTTCACTGAAGTTATGAGAAAACCGTGTTTCATGGTGAGAATTGTGTTGCCATGGCAACGGCAATTGAAGAAATCTCAAAACTGTCCCGTAGATGTTTTCGCGACTGGACTGTTAGCACACATGTGAAGTTTGAGCACTTTTTGAACATTTTCATAGGNCAGATGCCGGCCTCCGCTTTCTGAAAAATATATTTGTTTTTGTAAACTGCGTGTAAAAAACTGTTGTTTTATGAACAGAAAGACGATAGCTTCAATTGAAGTTCATAAAACAACAGTTTTTTACACGCAGTTTACAAAAACAAATATATTTTTCAGAAAGCGGAGGCCGGCATCTGAGGTAAAAACTAGCTAAGCACCTTAATCCATGTACTGTTCTTATGTGAAATATAGAGGTGCTTTACTAGTTCATTTCCATTTTATTTTCCATTTGAAAAGGAAATAGTGACCTATTTGCACATTTTTGAATGAACAAATGGAATAATTTTTAATTTAACTTTAATAATTGAAAAACTTCTTCCAACACTTGATTTACGGATCGATTCGAGGCCATTTCCTTTTTACAACGCCTATGAACATGCAAGTATGAAAGGGTTATTAATTTTGTATTTGAAAGTAATAAAGTGGGGTTTTACTTTATGACTAACTATCATCTTATGTTTCCACACATGTCTTATTAGAGCCCAGAGTAATATATTAAACAAATCAAATCAATTTCCTATATGTAATGATCTCTTCTCCTGCAGTGAGCCTGGATTTCTCATTTAGTGAAATCACAGCTTGAAAACATTCAGCACATTTTACTGAAGACATTAATACGTTTGGAGGGCTAAGTATAATTGCAACATCCATTAAACCAGTAATCTCCATATGAAAACTGTATAATTATGAGTTGTATAAAGATTAAATTTTTCTTGCAGATTGAGAGATCTGCTGATGATGAATGTCACTCTGGGAAGACTTTTCTGAAGATGCAGAACTTAGCTCATTAGTGAGCATTGAAACAAACAAGAATTGTTCACAGTGGCTAAGTTCAGTGTCTGACATGAAAGCATGAGCTCCAGCAGACCGTCCCAACACGGAGAGGTGAGGCGAGAACGTTTTTGCATGCCAAAACACTGTACAGTAGGAAGAAGAAGAAGAATCGCTGTTATGATGATTTGAGTCAGTAAAAGTATTATAAATGTGTCAACTACATGTATGGATCCTCACAAAGTTTAAAAATAACAAGAACCACAGCTTGTTAAATTCTGTGCTTTCAATCATTTTGGGATTTTAATAATGTGAACTTTAAATCCTCAGTTGTGTACTCTTGTGCCTACTGGACTGGATTCAGTGTGTCTCTGCAAAACTGGCTCAGTCCAGCAGGAACAAGAGTGACTCCTAATGTGACACCGTCGATGCTAACAAGCCTGTCCTCATCGTCCCCATTCACAATAATCTAAAGGATCACGTCCCAAATGACCACGAAAATGTTTATCACAGCACTCGGCAGCAGGTATTTTGTCAGGAGTGATGAGTTTGCGTTTCTGACCCAAAGAAATTATGCTTGCGTGTGTATCTGTGTGTGTGTGTGTGTGTGTGTGTGTGTGTGTGTGTGTGTGTGTGTGTGTGTGTGTGTGTGTGTGTGTGTGTGTGTGTGTGTGTGTGTGTGTGTGTGTGTGTGTGTGTGTGTGTGTGTGTGTGTGTCTGTGTGTCTGTGTGTATCTGTCTTTGTCTGTGTGTGTATCAGTGTGTGTGTGTGTGTGTGTGTGTGTGTATCAGTGTGTGTGTGTATCTGTCTTTGTCTGTGTGTGTATCAGTGTGTGTGTGTGTGTGTGTGTGTGTGTGTGTGTGTGTGTGTGTGTGTGTATCTGTGTGTGTCTCTGTGCGTCTGTGTGCATCTGTCTGTGTCTGTGTGTGTCTGTGTGTGTATCAGTGTGTGTCGGTGTGTGTATTTGTGTCCTGATTTGTCTCCTCCTGTGTGGGAGAATGTGCCTCGGCTGCAGGTAGTCGTTATGAACAGCAGTTGATTTGTGCTGAGTAACACTTCACGTTGCCTCTCATACCTCACGCTATAATAAGCTGTCAGTGTGTCTGCGAGCTTCTTCACTAAATTGGGATTCCACCGCCCCCCATCCCCCCACTCAGTCATTATATACCCGAATGGACAGGCTGCATTAGCATAAGCAAAACTGACCATCATTAGACTTGTTATCGATTTATGTATCCTGTACTCATTAATTTAAAAAATCTGCACACATGCAAAAATGTATATAGCCTGATCTGAAAATTGCACTCTGCAATTATATTATGTATCTGTGTATCTAACTTAATCTATGTTGAGGAAGCATGAAGAACTTTCATTTCTTCATTAAATGTGCTCATTATTTCTGTGTCAGACAGGTAAGATATTTTCGTTTCTGAAGGTGGATCTTTTAAGGTGCACAGATTCTGGAATATATCAAAGACTGAGCCCTCGTGAGGATTGAAATACTTGCACACAATGTGGCAAAGATCCTGCAGTGAAAAATCAGGAGCTGTCATTCACCTCTCAGTTTGGTTTCCATCTTGCACATACATCTTTGTCTGTTTTGTTCTAATTCTGTCTTTATCTGTTTTTTGGTCATTACATTACATGTTACTTGTTAGATGCTTTTATCCAAAGCAACTTACATACTCAATACTGTGGGTGAAGTGTCTTGCCCAGGGACACAACGACATGCTGACTGCAGCGGGGTTTGAACCTGTGACCCCCTGATCTCAACACCAAGGCTCTATCCACTGCGCCACACGCCATCCCTTATGTGCTATATATCCTATTTAATGTGTTTGTAATATGCTTTAAATTGTCTTGCATATTTGTCTCTTTTTAATAGCAGAAATAGTTTAGAAGAACATTGTCAAGACGAGGGCACAAAATGTGTCAACTTTTTTCCAAAAATATTACCAACGTGATTATGCAGATTTGAGCTTTGCCTGAACCCCTCTCTGTCAGTCTCAACAAGGTTTAACTTTTCAAGGTTAACTGCAGATTTGTGTTGAATTGCATTATATTTTACATATGCTGCTTATTTTTTATCTTGTACACTAAATAGAGTATAGAAAGGCCAAATAATATCCCTACTATTGAACTGCCACAAGAACAGTTTCAGGCCCAGTTGAGCATTTTAAAACCAGTAATAGTCCAACAGGATCATTTACAAATACTCTATTGAGATTTGTCCGCGCTGAGGATGGGGATCTCAAAGAAGTAGTAAAACAATATAACATTACTCAAAGAATACAATTCTGTAGTGCAATAAGATACAGTTTCATAAAAAAGTAAGAGGTGTGAAAAGGTGGCAAACAACAATACAGAACATACAGAGTAAATGTACATTACATGTCACTTTCTTTATGTGATAGAATAAACATACTTAACTTCACTGTCTTTGTGTGATAACATAAATGGCTTTAACTAGTGTTTTAATGTGGTAAAATAAAGGTAAATTATTCTGTATGTCGTCAAATAAATGTACTTTATACTGTATGTGGTCAAATAAATGTACTTTATACTGTATGTGGTCAAATAAATGTACTTTATATGTGCTAAAATAAAAAGGTACTTTATACTGTATGTGGTCAAATAAATGTACTTTACTTGACCGCCTATATGTGGTAAAAGAGATGTACTTTATGGTAAAAATAAAAAGGTACTTTGTACTTTACGTGTTAATATAAGTGTACTTTACTTCACTGACTGCCTATATGTGGTAAATGAAATGTACTTTGTATGTGGTAAATTAAATGTACTTTGTATGTGGTAAAATAAATGTACTTATATGTGGTAAATTAAATGTTCTTTATACAGTATGTGGTCAAATAAGTGTACTTTTTAGGTGGTTCACTGCATGTATCTGCTAGTACCATAGGGCTAGTACTCTAATGTGATGAGAGGTGGTTGTAATACCCCATATTTCCACCAGGTGGCGCCTAAACCCCCCAGTTCACCTCATAACAAATGAGGTAAATTAAACTCTGTATTAACTTCTGCCCCTCGCTAATGTGTAAGAGTTATCTTCTCTCGACACGTCACAACGTGCTGTGTTGTTTTTATCTGCAGCTGTACCTCCTGTTGGCTAAGGTGCGACATATTTCAGGTCAGTAAAGGTACAACATTAGTGTCTACCTCGTCGGCGGGTGTGTCAGTGTGTGTGTGCGTGTGAGTGAGTGTGTGTGTGTGAGTGTGTGTTTGGATAAACCTAGGAAGTAAAGTTTTCGGGTAGGACGACGCCGAGACGTGAACCCTGCATTTCTTTAAGAAGCTGTGATTTAAAACTAAAACGTCGCCGAACTGCTGGGAAATTACTTGTTAACCATTTAAAACGGTGAATATGCAATTCATTCGCTTACCTTTTTTTCTAGAAACTCAGGTGAAGAAACATATTTTTCCCTGAAGTTGTGCGACCGGATTTCGGAAACGCCAAAGACCTTCCTCTTCCTCCCGTTTTCAGGAATATTTCGGCATTAGAAAAGGAAATGAGTGGGTTTTTCTGTAAAGGTGAGATTTATTTTTGTCCTCTTGTTACTGTTAGGTATTTGTTACCTGGGCAGATTATCTTGGATTATCGTTGATACAGTGTGGGAATGAGGCCAACTAACATGCAAATGTTATGTCATTTGTACACATAGATCTCAATGTGCATGGTCTCAAAACATTTACCTGAGATAGTTTCACCGTAATCACACTTTCTTTTTCTTCATTTTAAAGTCGCATTTGTTGACGTTTGACACTTGTTAATGAGTGGATGTATATGGGAATTATGAGGTGGATTAGATTCTATAGTGTTACCTGTTGTTACCGTGTGTGGGAATGAGCCAACCAATGTCTTTTGCCTACGTTTTATATCCCAGAAATAATTACATTACATACAAAGGACTCAATAGATTTCCTGTGCTAGTTTTACTCTTATTACACTTTATATTTCTTAATTTTTAACTAGCTTTTGATGACATAATGTGGATTATCTTTAGTATTACATGTTGATACAGTCTATGGGAATGAACCAACCAATGAGAAATGCATGTTATGTCGTTTGCCTACGTGTCATATCCTAGAAATAATTACACCGCAAACAGATGACCCAAAGATGATCTGTGCTAGTTTTACTCCTATTACACTTTCTATTTCTTCATTTTTACCTAGCTTAATGTGTGTTTCTACAGTGGATGCTGGCCGAGAGTTGGGAGAGTGAGTTATGCTGAGGCCTGTCTGTACATCAGGATGAGCTATACAGATGGATCCGGGCGCCCTGAACATAATGGAGAGGCCCGAGTTGTGCAGATCTACCCCAGGCTGCCCCGGGACACTTCCACCTACTGTCCCCTGCAGGTCAGCGGAGGGGACACGGCCAGGGCGGTCATCCACAATGCAGTGATCACTCTGGGCCTGGACGCCAGCCAGAGGTACAGCCTGCTGGAGGTGAGGAAGAGCGGCGGGGAGGAGAGGCTGCTGGAGGCCGGGGACCACCCTCTGGAGAGAGTCCTGCTGTGGCCCCGCAAGGCTCAGAGGTGGCACCCTCAGAGTGAAGGGCACTACTTCATCCTGCAGAAAGACAACAGTGCAGGCAACCAACTACAAAGCGACAGAGGCGGCTACGATGACCTCTGCAACCTCCAAACTGTGACTGAGGAGAGCATCCTGAAGGCTTTACATAATCGCTTCTACAGGCTCAACATCTACACCTATGCCAGCAACATCCTCATCGCCATCAACCCCAACAAGTTCCTGCCTCTTTACTACAACCCAAAGTTTGTGAAGAAGTACGAAAACCAGCCACTGGGCAAACTGAGCCCTCATATATTTGCAATAGCAGACGTGGCTTTCCGTGCGATGCTGACCAGGCAGAAGAACCAGTGCATCGTGCTGTCTGGAGAGAGTGGCTCCGGGAAGACTGAGAGCAGCAGTTATCTCATCCACTGCCTCACCGCGCTCAGCCAGAACTCCAGCGGACTCGAACGCACCGTCCTTGGGGCCGGCCCGGTGCTCGAGGTAGGTCACTGTGATGAGAAGCACCTGCTGAAACCAAAAACACCCACATCTGTTGTAGCAGTACACACTGTCAGCTCTGTAGAGGCAATAACAAGAGATAGTGACACTTTCCTGCTGATTCACCATCTGTGTCAAAATTTCTTTCAAAATATGTTGACAGAGGGCCAATCAACAATCAGAGAATCAAGTTATTTGTCAGTTAAATTCAGGGTTCGTACGGGTGCTGGAAATCCTTGAAAATGCTTGAAATGTTATGAGGTGTTTTCAAGGATAGCCTGTATAGACTTTGTTCAAATGTTCCTGAATGATAGCCAATCGTCGTGGGGTTTTGAGTGACGAGCCCTGCGCCAGGTGGAGTTATTGAGGTGAAGCAGTTCAGCTAAATCTCGGTTGAATCAAGGACTGCATCGGTTTTTTATCCTCATTTTTTGATGGGAGCGTGTTTATTGATTACCATACCAAAGGAGTCATAAAAGAAGGACCATGCAGCATCGAGGTCAGGGATCAAGCTAATTCTGTCCCACTTGATAGCAGCCAGGTCGTAGAGGAAGGCTTGTTCGTCTAAATGTTTCAGTGTTCGTCTTTGAGTGGTAAGGACTGGCTGTTTTAATTGTGCCGCCATTACGAATGCAGCCAATAAGACAGTGCTCACTGAGATCGCTACAGAAGACGCCAGTTTTGTACCTGTCAGGGTTATTTGTGAGGATGACATCAAGGAGGGTGGCTTTTTCTGGATTTTTGGTGTCATACCGTGTAGGAGTGACGAGTGAGGATAATCTGCGAGAGATTAAGAGAGTCCCATTGTTTTTGGACCTGCGCAGGAGGGTTGAGCATGTCCCAGTTTAGATCCCCCAGTAGCACAAACTCAGAATGAGTGTGGGGTGCCAGGTGGGTGCTGAGAGCAGGTAGGGTACATGCTGGGGCAGAGGGTGGGCGATAGCAGCCAGCGACTGTCAGTGTAGAGCTATTTGCCAGTTTAATGTTTACGATAAGTAGGTCAAATTGTTTGGGGACAGATTTACTAGTGGCGATAGAAACTTGGAGGTGTTGCTTTGTGAATCTAACTACTCCACCAGCTTTAGATGATCTATCCTGCCTAAACACATTATAACCAGCGATGCCGATATCAGAGTCTGGGATATTCTTCTTCAGCCAAGACTCAGTGATGACAAGTGCCTCCGGATTGGAGCTGTGAACGAGCACTTTTATCTGGTCAATTTTTGGCAGTAAGCTTCTAGCATTTATATGTAGAAAACATACAATAGAAGGTCCAGGATGAACATGCACATTGCCCGATATCATCAGTAGTGATACAATCAGAGCACGGCCAAGAGCTAGCAGTGAGTCACAATACCTAGTTGTTTTGTGAGCACATTGACTGTGGAATGTAACGTGATCATCTTGTGTAGGTCATAATCACACATGATAGTAGAGGCGGTTTGCATTTGTTATGCGCAGGAGGGGGTTGGGAGGCGGCGAATAACATAAGGAAAAAGCAGTGAAGTTTGGGATTAGCCATTGTTAGTCCAGTGAAGGTAGGAAGCAGCACTCACCCAGAGGTCAACAGTCCTTGGTTGTTTATAGCATAAAGAACATCTGATTTAATGTCAGTTAGGGGAATAATCATTTGAGTATAAGTATGTGTATATAAATATGTAATTTACAACAGCTGTAAGATGCTTGAAAATGCACCTTGAAAATGCACCTTGAAAAGTGCTTGAATTTGACTTTGGAAAAGGTGTAAGAACCCTGTAAATTGTCAAGCAAAACTGTCCAACATTCCCGGTTAAGGTTTCAGGATATATTTGGGTTTTATTACTGCTGGCTGAAGAACACAGGCAGTTTGAACATACCACTATGTCTCTGGAAATATGATATGTATGTTTCACTGTGTTATGACATAAACTACTAATAACTAAAGATTCAAAGGGTCATATGCAGTAGCTTTGGCATACATTGGCCGGAAATCCGAAGTCTCAGGCTCCTCCAAAAGCACAACATACAATAAACTCAAGACATAAACGAAACAAAATATAACTAAAAAACCATTTAAGAAAACACAAATTATAAATCAAAAAAGCATGCTATGAAGTTTAAGCCCCTGCGAGCACATCAGTCTGGCCCTCTTTTTTTTCAGTAAACTTTCGAAATTGTCGCAATCTTTCATCAGAAACCAACTTGCACGCACGTTGGTTGATTGAAAAGAGTGATTATCTGATGGTTTAACTAATCTGATTATCTGCCTTCACCGTTTCCTGCAGAGAGTAAAATGAAGCAATGCTCTGCCATTCTGTCTTCATAGGAAGATGTGAATATGAGTTGGATTATTGTGGATGTTTTTTTTCTTGTTTGTTGCTTTAGGTCAGCTTTAGAATTTTGAACTGAAACTGTTTCTGTTATATCATTTCCTTTTCTCGACCTCTTTATCCAAAACATAAAATGTCAAATAAAGAAAAACCTCTCCTTTTTATACAGGAAACAAAAATATAACCACCATGTGTTTTGCACTTCCTTGCAACCAAACCCAGCCAATCAGTTTAATCAACAATAACCACACGTGGTGTCGTCCAAAATGAGAATCCAATCAAATCCAATCCACTTTATTTATATAGCACATACCGTTTACCGAAGTGCTTCACAGCAGACATAACATTATAATAAAATATAATATTACAATAATAGATAAAAGGCACACATAAGAATAGATAAAAGGTACATAAAGGCTATGGACAGACAATAAAAGCATAACAATCGATAAAACATAGCTCAAACTGACTCGAAAGCGAGGGAAAAGAGTTGGGTCTTCAGGCGGGACTCAAACGTTTGAAGGTACATTGTAATTGATCATGTACTGTATTTGCAAGAAAAACAACAAATGGCAAAACATAAAGGGACAAAATGTCTTAAAGGCTCCTAGAAAAAGGCAAAGAAATCTGTATTGTACATGCTGAATTTTGATCATCAGGAACACATACAAATATTAGGGTTTGCATAGTTTGTTTTGCCTCATACACTTAGTCAGACATTTCATCAAATCAAAACCCCCAAAGAGCAAAACAGTGGCAGTGTTTGTCGACCGTGAAATCAGACTTATTTTACACTCCAGTTTCGTTCTCACTCTTCTAGGTTAATAGGTCTCTTTGTTCACTATCAAATCAGCCGTGTGAATAAATGTTTCAATGAGTAACAAACAGGCCGCTTCCCTGTGTGCTCTCTGTTTCATTTATCTGTTGGGTTGCACCAAGGTTTGACTGATACCTGATATGAGGCTAGGCTAAATGCCTTAGAACTAACCAAACTTAGATTTTTATGGAAAGAACATTGCATTTTTTGACTAGGAGTCTCTTTACATTGCGCAAGAACACATCTGAAAGAGGGGAAGCAAGGCATTGGTTGGTTTCAGTTCATTTAAAACACGCATTGTTTTTGAAATGGCTGGCTCTTTACTGACATCTACTCCAGCTACCATTAAGTACATGCTATGTCTATCCATCAATACAACAAGCTAACACAAAGGATCCTGGCCTGCTTTGTTACTGAATACACACACACACACACACACACACACACACACACACACACACACACACACACAC